CTGAAGGGCAATTGACTACAGAAAGGGAATCTGTGAGCTCTTGGAATCAACCCTCACCGTAGCTGAAGGATGGGTGCATGGGCAAAACCCAAGGGAAACATGGTAGAGCTCTACAGTGTCTCCTGTTCAGCCCCTGCACAGCGCCACTTGCTTCTCACATTAAGTTTATTCTGTCTGCCTATTGACAGATGCATGATGGTCATTGATTTAAAGTGACTAGTGCAAGCTAAAAGATAACAAGCCATCTTCTTCCACCTCACAGGTGTAACCTAGTTGGCCCCTCAGCTATATCTTTATGAGCTATTCTATGCTTTCTAGGTCATCAGTTTCTAGATGGTGCCACATGAGTAGGACCAGTGGATCCTATAGTCACCAACCTACTGGCATACTGCCCCTGCTGTGACTTTGTAGCGATGCTGTATGAGAGCCTGCACCAGTAAATCACTCAGCCTGAGAGTCCTAAGATCATGGCAATGGCCTAAGGCACCATCAGAACAGCTTGACTCATACCCAAAATATACATGGCTCCTGGTCAGAGTGACTCTCTACCCTTCTCATGATCTCTTTATTACAAAGGGTCCCATGTAATAAACTTGCCACTGAGTGGATAGTTGGCCTCCTCATAGGATGTTACCATATCAGGGTCTAAGCTTTTGTCTCTGTTGATCACCGGTTGGACATTCAGCAGTAGCAGAAGCTACATCAACCTTGATAAAAGGAAGCCCAAGCTTTTGGGGTTATGTTTAGATTCATAATTGTTACCATGATCAGGTGTCCATATTGTACAAGCACTACCTGAAGGGCAAGGGGCATTGTCAGGGACTGGCTGATGTCCCTTGCATGAGTCACCTTGCCCACCTGCTTGTTGAATGCTCTATGTACATGTTACAATGTCACAGGGTGGATCTTCACGCATTTTGCTGACTCTCATAGGGCCACATGCCTCTTTCCCAAATGTCTCTGATGGTCCAGTCTTGCTGTTTCCAGCCCTCTGACCAATAGCTAACCATTCACTACCCACCGCTAGTACACATATGTTCTTATCTCAGGTCACATCTCTTGCCACGCCAATGGCCACTCAAATCTACCTGCTGGAGGGATTTCTTCTCATCATGGTCTTTCAGGGTCACCTTCATTGGGCTGGAGTGCAGGTGCAGCTCACTTTTGGCTGGCCCCATATACCAAGTTGGCCCAAGCTCTGGAATTGTTCTTCTTCATTATCGGGTGGATATAAACCCTCTGTGTGGCAGTATGTGTGTGCCAGTGGAGAGGCATTGTTGCAAATGTCCCCATTCCAAGATTAGGGGCTCGATTTGGTATAAGAGACTGTCTCGATGGGGAATTCGGCCTTTTCTGTCAACCCACTGCTCTTGCGCAGAAGCCCTCTCCCTGATCCTCACTCTGTCTGCCCTCTGGCTGCAGAAGGTAAATGTTTTCAAGGCTTCCTGCCAAGAGGTTTCGTCTGACTCTCATCCTTTGTTTTAAATTGTCGATTAAGAGCTGTGCAGAGTAATTTCCTTTCTTCAGTGCATCATTGACACTTAGCAATAGACACCCAATGCCAAGGTCTTAATTCCTAGTCATTCTTCCCTTACCTCTCCAATGCCAGAGACTTGGTACCAGCTGGGACAGTAGCCTGCTTCATCCTATCCAGTTAGCCCAGGTGACACACTGCCACCCCTTGCCAGCCTCTATCAATCTTTACCTGCCACCAGTACATCTCCAGCCTTCTGCCTGCAGAAAGTTTCCAGGAAGGAACAGTAGTGGTCACATGTGCCTTTGAGCCCACTGTCTGAGAGCAAGAGGTTGCTGGTGAGCTGGCAGGAGACGTCTCAGAGGAGTGGGCACAAAGCGGGCATGTGGTGGGGGCAGAGGAGAGTGAACAAGAGCCTGTTCCTTGACTCTCTAAGGAGCCTGTGTAAGAAGGAGGGGAAGGCATCAAAATCCAGGATTTGGGAAGCCGGGGTTAGACCTCACAAGGGCAGGGCTGAGGCCCAGACCTAGGAAGGAGGAAGGCAGGGGAAGGGGCTCCCGATGGAGTGAAGTGCTGATGGAAGAGAAGCAGGTTCTGGTGTCAGGGGCTGGGGAGGAGCTGGTCCCCACGGGAGGGACACCACCTCCTCTGAGCCTGGGCTGAGGAAGGATGTATGGCTGGGGGAAGATGGATGTGGGCCTGTGGGTTGGGTGGACAGCAGTGGGCATCTGAGGGTGGGGCCCATTCTGAGGTGGGCATGGCTGAATGGGAGGTGGGAGCAGGACATGAGAGCAATGGATGGTAAGAGGTTGGCTGGGTGACCTGAGGACCTATTGGGGCTGGAGACCCCAGTGTGTTCTGGCATCTCCCTGTGAGGCCAAATGACTCCCCCAAGTAGCATCCTGCAGGCTTCTATGGGGGCTTTGTGAAGTGGGCTAAGGGAACCCCCAAGATGACCTGTGATGTAAAGCCCAGGTGTGGGGAGGGCTGAGCTCCTGCTGCCCTGAGCCAGGGCCTTCCCGGGGCTTTATCAGTAAACTTTTCTCATCCTGGGGTTAGGGCCCCAGAAGGAAGTACTCTATCTCGGGAGGGAGAAGGATGGGCCAGCTGGTCTCTTTGAAGCCTTGGGTCAGCCACAGGCTTGTATCTGGCTGTCTCCCTGGTTCAAGGTGTCCAGCTGAAATGACAGGGAGGTGTGCTGTTTGTCGTGACGTTGGGGAACCGCACTCCCTTCCCTCTGCTCGCCCACTTCCACCTTTGGCACAATGCCATCCCAACTTTTGTTTTTAAACACAACCCACCGGTTCAACACGCGTGTGCATGTATACACACTCACACATTCACACCCTGAAAGTGGCCTGATATACTCCCTCCCTCTGTCCTGTAGGGGACACTGCTGATATTTTCTACTTTATTTTCATTCAAAAGTGTTGGCCACGCTCCGCCATGCTGATTGACAGCTTGCTGGAGGGTCAGGCTATAAGGAGCAGGTGCAGGACCTGCCCCTCTGGGAAGTGCTTCCTGTTGCCCACCCTGCTCAGTCACCCTTAGAGCAGCAGCTCCGAGGGAACGGCACTGTGTGTTGTGGCAGAGGGCAGTGCCTGTGGCTCAGCAGCAGCCTGGATTCCAGTCTTAAAGTAAACCCTTCTCCCTCACCTTCCATCTCCTACCCAAAAGAGAAACTCTGGCCACCTCAGTGCCACTTAGAGTCAAGGGACTTCTGGGCACCCAGACCCCATAGGCAGTCCGTTGCCACCTCAGCCCAACTTAGGCACACATTACACCCCTCACTCAGTCCTGCACCCTCTCCTGACCCACATCCCCACAGACATTCCAGAATCACACTAGCACATAGATTTGGGGTCCCTGCCAGCCCCCTACTTCCCCGTGGCAACCATGCCTGTTGTCTTCCTGGTGTCCCGTGGTCAGGCTAAGGGGAGTTCCAGCAATTGACTGCTGAGCTCTGCCAATCAGATTCACTTCCCCAAAGTTTAAATGGGACACACAGAAGAGCAGCCAGTCTGTTGGGTGCTGAGGCTGTGAGGCTGGTTGGGACGGTGGTCTGGGTGGGAGCCATCATGAGACCAAACCCCAGGGAAAGCACAGTCCTGGAGAAGAGAAATCCCAAGCTCCCCTCGGAGGGGATGAGGATGGGTGTACAGAGAAGCAGGTGGCCAGGCGGAGCTGGGGAGGGAGAGCAGCTGTTAATACTCCACTTCCTGTGAGGCCTGGCTAGGCCTCTGTTTTTTCACTCTAGACATTTTGGATCCAGTCACCCCTGGGGGGATCAACATGAATAGGTTCCTGCTTTTTAATCCATGGGGGACTATGGGTGACAGCCACCATTAGACACCCTGAGTCATGCTTGGCTACAAAGACCTGGATCTGTTCAGGCCCCATTTCAGCCACACACCACTCACTACCCACTCCATCTGCCCCACCTGCCTGTCAGGATCAGGGCCTGCTGGAGACAAGTTCCCGCCAGAAGCAGGTGAGGAGGGTACAGGGCTCTGAGCACTCACTTGCCCACAGCTCCCAGGGCGCCCTGCAGGGCTCTTCCAGCTTCATACCCAAAGCAGAGTGACAGGGCGGGGGTAGTGGTTTAAAAACAACAGCCAAAACACCCAGACCACTCCTTGGCAGCCACAAAATAGCTGATTCACCAAAACCTTCATTTTTGTCAATTTATTTAGAAAAAAATTAACATGGGCAAATGAGATACCTCAGTGTTACAACAGAGTATAGAAATGTCTAGCAATAGTCAAATATTTTGATCTTTAAATACAAAATAACCACATGAACACCTAATATACAGGTTTCATCTGAATACATATTTATTAGATAAATATTAGAGGTTGTCACATCATCTAACTACATACAGCTTTGCAAGACTAGAAATCACAATTAGTTTTTCTGACCAGTTGAAAGTATGAAATGATTGCATTGTACATACGATGTACAGAGACGATGACGGTTTCTGTGGGAGTCACTTCAGGCTGCACGTGTGGGTGTGTTTATGTGTGTACGTGTGAATCACCTGCGATCATGATATCAAAAATTATACAAAGTATGAATTTGGTTACAATTTTCTTCTGAAATCCCCCGTTTCTTTTCATTATTTCCATAGCACCCTAAAAAGTACACAGGTGGCAGGACTAGTAGACTGAAGCTAAATAGTACATGTAGGTAAAATAAAAACAAAACAGAACAAAAATGCTTTTCCACACAGGGTCAGAGTATATTACATGAGTGGGACAAAATGTGGAGAACTCACAAACGCTAACAAACAGGATCTAGTTTTTCCACGTTAAGATGGAGTTCCAAGCCTTTTTTTTTTTCTCGTTTTGTTTTGCAAAAGAAAAAAAAAAAAAAAACAATACACATTCCGAGAGAAATGAATGCATCTGCTGACGTGTGTCTATTTCTCATTTACATATATACACGTCCCTCGAGTCGCTGCTGCTGACGCTGCCCTGTCTGGACGGGTCAGGCCCGAGGCCTGCTGGGAGCAGGCCTGTAGCTCTCTGGGGGTGGGGGTGGGGGTGTTAGGGCCTCCATTAGGGAGAAAGCATTAGAAGTTTCTTCAAAAATAAAATGKCTACAGGGAACATGATACATGGATAAAGCTTCAAACCAAGAAGATGGGGTGATGGCCCACAGGGGGCTCTTTCCGTCTGCCGGCTGCCTTCCACTCCACCTTTGTGGAGAGGTGGCAGAAACGTGCCTATGGGGTGGGTCGATGCGTATCATGGAAACGTGGCTTGCTGAGGCCTGTTTTTTTTTTTTTTTGAGGTTACTTATGGCTCCAAGTTGTCATCTGAAAGGATCAGGGAAATATCTTTCCAGAGCTCAGGCCTGCCTCTGCTTACAGATGTTGCTCTTATGTGCATCGGTCACTACTAAGGGACAGTTCCTGCCCCAGATGTTGTTGCTCCTCCCTCATACCCAAGACAAGCTCCAAAATTACTGTGGGAGGGGGATGTCCCTGGAGGGTGGGCTTCGGGCAGTGCCGTCCACAAGGAAGCTCTTGAATGAACTAGCTGGTGGAGGCTTGCTTGGGAGGGGGCCTAGGAAACCAGCCTGAGGTGTCCAGCCCAGAGATGGCCAGGAGAGGGGCCTGGAGGCCTCACTGCCAGCACATCTACGGCTTCTCCACTAACGCTGTGGATGGGTCTGTGGGCGGAATCTGGGCACRCAGTGAAAAGGACCAGCAGGGTCCCAGGCCTTGTCAAGGCAAAGGATCATGGCAGGAAGCAGGATCATCTAAGGCAGGCGTCTGTCAGTCTGTCTGAAGGTGAACATTCCAGATGGTCCAACCTAGACCATGGCTTCCCGCCAGGCCACAGGCCCTGTGCAGGGACGGCCACAACACCACCTGGCATGATCTTGTACCCAGAAGCCCACTGGGTATGGCTCTCAACTGTGAACTGCCTAGTCTTCCGACTCCCAGCCTAGCCACCCGTTCTATTCGTCCCTCATCTGTACAAATAGCCCTGGTTTCTTTTTTTGTTTGTTTGTTTGTTTTTTTTAAAAAAAAAAAAAAAGGACTCGAGTTTTTGTTGTTGAGTCAAGGTATTTTAAAAACACCAGCAAAGGCTATAACCAGGTCATGAAAATGTTGAATATTATCAAAGACAATACTAAAATATTCACAAAGATATTTACAAAAGCGATTCTTAAAATAATTGATTTGCATACTGAACAACACACTGTTTGAAAAAACCTTGACAACGGGGACAAAGGAAGAAAAAGGGCGGGGGCGATGGCAGCTTTCCTACAGAAAACCTTGTGCCATTTGGTACGGTGACTGCAAGTCAACAGCTGAGGCCACCTTTCTGGTATAATCCGCAGAAGAGTGCTGGAGACCACCCACCGCCCAGAGGGAGACTGGGAGATTGATGGCAAATGAGGATACCAAGAGTGGACGGGAGGGCAGGCAAGGGCCCTGGGCAGCAGCAAGAAGGGCGCCAAGAATTTATAGCTAGGACCCAGGTGAGGGGACACTCTAGCATCCCCACATGCCATGAGGCTCAGGGGCACAGATCAGCCTGGAACAAAGTGGACATGTGACAAGCTCCCAGGGGACACCTAAGCCAGATGGAGTGAAGCAGTGGAGGAAGACCAGAGGGAGCAGGAGTGTGTGCGGAGCTGCGGGTGGAGGGGGATGCCAAGAGCAGGCTGGCGGCCACACGGACACTCACACCGTGAGTTGCCTGCAGGGCTGTCCAGGTGCACTCAGCGATGGCTGGGCTGGAGCCAGGGGCAGCTTTGAGCATGGGGAGAGATGCGGGTGCACTGGCCACCTGCTGCCCAGCTCCAGTGCAGGCCTCACCCGAGCCGCCCTTGCGCCTGCCCCACCTCTCCACCAGTTACCACTGCTGTCTGGCTGGACAAATGGAACGAGGACACAGAGGGAAGCGGGTGTCCCATGGAACAGTCTTGGAGAGGCAGGAGACGGGCCACAGGAAGGAACCAGCACACGTGGAGGGAAACTGCTTGCTGTCCAAGTGCAATCTTCCTTTCCTCCAGGTGACTTCAGGACTTTCCATGTGGCCATCTCCAATCAGGGAGTAGCTTGGAGCAGAGTTGTAAGCGGCTGCCCTATTTGACTCTGGCTGGTGGCAACCCCACACCCCCCTCCAGGGGCATAATCATTTGGGTTGGGTGTACTCTCTGCCCTCTGAGGCTGAGCCTTGAACTGAGTCCAAAAGGTTGTGAAACCCTCCAATGCCTCGTCCTGTCTCCCGGGAGGCCCTGATCTCCTTTCCCACCAGTCCCCAAGCAGGAATGGCAGACCCTCTCAGACACAGAATCTTGTCCTTTTTCTCTGCTTTCTGAGAAAGTTTACAGGGTATCTTGGCTTAGAGGTCAGAGGCCAAAGTGATGACCTTTGGCCTCTGAGATGTTCTCCTTCCCAGAGGTTTGTGCTTTTCTGTGGTGGGTGGTGGGGGGCAGGCCATTCCCCTGCTGCCAACTGTCACTGCTTCTCCAAAGTTTGGGGTTCCCCAGGTCTTTGGGGGCCTTCTCTCAGGCTCCAATCACTTGCAGGAAGCTCTGGGCTGGGAAGCAGGGAGGCAGGGCTACAGTTTAGAAAGTGGAAGAACCCTTGGGGACACTGGAAGGTCATCTGGAGTCAGCACAGACAGAGGGACCTTTAGCCGCCATCAGCACAAGCCTCTTGCTGGGCCGGGCCCCCCTCAGTGGGGGTCATCCCGGGGCCTGCTCTGGGCATGGGCCCCTGCCCAGGGCATTCGGGAGACACGGGCTGCAGACTCACAGGCCTTCCGGGTACACCCTGCTCACCCTCCAGCCTGTGGTCCCTGTGAGGGGCAGCCTGAGGCATGGGCTCCCGGGTGGAAAAGTGTGTGGGACAGACGGGGTAGGAGGCAGAGTGGGGAGGGATGGCCCCAGTGGAGGGGTGGCCTTCAGTTGTTCTCAAAGAGAGATAGGAGGTCATCGTTGCTATTGCTTGGAAGGTCGGGGGGATCCAGATAAGAGAGGAGCTCGTCAGGATTTGTGAGTTCCGGCAGGAGCTGGAAAAGAATGAAGTCCAGATGAGGTGTCAACTGGGAGTGGCCCAGGGAGGGAGTGCAGGGATGCCCGCCAGCCTGGTCGATCCCCTTCCATCTGCCCCCCAAGACCCTAGCCCAAAGAGGGACCCTAGCAGTGTTGAGTGTGGGCCTTCTGGCTGCCCACACACATCCAGGCCACTGGGCCTCGTCCATGCTCATTTCAAGCCTAGGGCAGAGGAGCTGGACTGCCGAGACCTGGGCTGGGCTGGGCTGGTCCTTCTCAGGCACATACATCAGCCCTACACCCTGGGAAGTCCAGTGGTCTCTGCAGTGCTCACCACCCTGGTCCTCTCCCCAGACCTCCTAGAAAAGCCTGTGGCCCCCTGTCTCCTACCCTCTACCATGACACCCCCACGGGCCTATGTCTGGGTGAGAACCCAAGATGGCAGCACAGTGAGTCCCACCTGCTGCAAAGCCTCTGCTGCCCAGTGGGCCCAGGAGGTGGAGGACAAGTGTCACTGAGCGGAGGACAGGCCTCCTCTGGGGAGCGTCGACGTAGAGGTGTAGGCCAGTCACTGCCCCCAGCAACCAAGGCGGGGATGGGAACAGCCAGCGTCCTGCCCCATACCTGCCAGTCCGTCCAACTAGTGCTCAGCCTCAGTCATTCCGTGTCCCACCCTAATTTTCCAAACTGTTTAGGCCTCAAGGTGGGGGACCCCTGAACCTCAGTTGTCCCCTGATAGTGACCCTGATAGTGAAGCTGAACTTCCTGCCCCCCAGCTTCTGTCACCCCACACAGGGGCCTCTTGGAGTGAACGATGGAGCAAGCGGAAGCAGGGAATGGACAACACGTGGACAAGAAAACTGCAGACAGACAAGACCAGCAAGACAGACAGAAGGGCCCTGTCACTCCAGCCCCTCCCGTGCCTCAGGCCAGAGAGGGTGCAGACACAGAAACAGCAAGCTCAACATGGTGGGGAAGTGAGGGGAGGAGGTTGGGAAGAAGGGCAGGGACCCTCCTGTGCTGCCTCCAAAGCCCTGGCCCCAAGGGAACCTGCAAGGACCTGGGTGGAAGGACTGTGGTCAGGGGACTGTGGGGAGGGGCCAGCGGAGCAGGGGTTCTCAGTGACACTTCCCCCTGGTGGGGCTTCCTGGTTCTGGAGCCAGGGCAGACTGGCTGGGGTCCACCCACCGCCCACCCACCTCTTCCACCCGGGGCCTTGAGCCCTCAACACCCACCCCTTCTCTCGGGCAGGTCCCGGTGCCAGGCCTGGCCCCAGGCCAAGGCGCATGGTGACCCCAACTTACATCCAGTGAAGGCTCCGGCATGTCGGACGCTCCCTGCGCGCCGGCCTGACCCTCTAAGGCTGAGGAGGGGTTAAAGGTCAGGTCGCTGTGTGGATGGTTGCTGGGAGCGGCCTGTGGCGGCTGCCGGGGAGGCTGGGAAGGAGGAGGAGGAGGAGGAGGAGCCCCACTGTGATGTAATGGAGGCCCTGACTGGCTGCTGGGGTGTGGTACGTGCAAACCTTGTTGTATGGAGGGATGGGGCTGGTCAGAACTGCCAGCGTGTGGCATCTGTGGAGGAGGAGAGAGCAGGAGAAAGAAAGGTGAGGTGACGAGGAACAGCCACGAGATGCCTGGAGAAAATGAAAACCAAACAAACCAGGGAAATAACAACCCCCAAACAAAGCTGCCCCCTCACAAGGCTGAATGGTTGTTGGTGGGAGGGGGCAGAAAAACAAACAAAAACCCTGTCCTCCCCTAAAACTGCCAGCCAGGGAGGCCGCGGAGAGGAAGGCAGGGGACCGGGCCTCTCAGGCTGCACGCGGCCCCGAAGGGCTTTGAGACAGGCGCAGATGCTGAGAGCAGGCCCAGGCCCCTCCGAACCCCTCGGCCTCCCCACCCCAGACACCGTCACAACGAACAACAGCAAGGGCAGAATGAAGAAGCAAAATGGGCATGTTTCTGGGGAGCGGGGAGGCAAGTGGTGCTGCCGGCAGCGCGGTGCAGGCCCCCAAGGGCCAGGGCAGCAGAGAGCAGACGCAGACACATAGCACGGGGCAGGCGTGCAGCTCAGGCCCGGGGGCTGCACCCCCCAAGTAGGCCCAGGAAAGGGGCAAGGCTGGGCATGAAGACGATGCACCCTGCCTGCCTCCAAGGATGGAACTCAGCTGTGACATCAAAGGGTAGAGCAAGGTGGGAACTTGGGTGACCAGGGGCACCTCAGCACACTGCTGGGCCCTTCTTCCTGGCCAACCCCCTCATACCAGACACTGAGAAGGCCAGGCACCTTCAGGCCTTGTTGAGCCCGGAGTTGTCTCTAACAGATCTAGGTAATTCTTTAGCAAGCATAAGCACCAAAAAATGGGTTGTCTGCAGATAGGTGGGTAGTTAAGATTGAAACATGTACCCTGCTCGTCTGTCTGTTGTTCCAAGCAGGCCCTCCCTCAGAGCAGAAGGCCTGGCGAAGGCTCTGAATGTTGAGCCCATGCCCTTATCCCCACTCTAAACATCCCCACAGGGCCCGCAGCCCACTTATGTGCTGCCAATTGGAACAGGCAGCCTGGTGACCACATGTTTTCTTAGTCTTCTGGGCCCCCTCTCCGTGCCTGGCCCCATCTTCTGGGCCACACAGAAAAGCAGTTCTGAGTTTGCAAACAGTAGTCACGCTAYCCCTGGTCTTCCCCAGACCCTAGTTCTTCTTCCTGTTTCTGCTGAGGGCTGTTACCCACTTCTGCTGTGGGCTGGCCTCGGCCCACAGTCCAGGTGGCTTTTCTTCTGGGGATATGGAGCCGCACCCCAATACGACGTGGGACAGCACAGTGCTCTTCCAGCCCCCACCCTGAAAACAGGGGATAACCACACGACCATGGGGTTTGGGGACCTTGGAGAAGCCACATGTGGGATGACCTGAGGAAGAGACTGGAGGAACAGGCCACTACAGCTGTCAGTGAGAGGCAGATGCCCCACAGTGTCCATTCTCGGGCAGCAGGAAGGGGCTCCATATTCCTGTAAATAGCCCTATTCTGGACAGATGGTCCTTGGATCTTCTGACATAGCCGTTCCCCTGGACCCTGATATGGGCTGGAATATCTCAGAGCCTGGAGGGCCAGGTGTTCTCTGAGCCCTGCTAATACGCTTGTCAACCTTAACCTGGCAAGGGAGAGTCCTTGGGCACATCAGCACCTGGTGGGAGCTGTCCAGCCAGTCCTGGCATGCAGGGTGGGGAGGAGGGTGAACTGGCTACCTCTAGTCGTGCAGGTGTGCTAGGAGTTGACCTGTGACTGCTCACCCCACCTAGTACAGCTGTGCTTCTGGGTCTGCTTGCCTTCTAGTGATAGGCCAGAAACAAAGGAACATCCCTGGGAGGCTCTGAAGTCAATTCACAGGCTCAGGTCCCCCTGCACAAAATGCCAGTGACACGGCTAACAGAAGACAGGAGAGCATATGGCCTTCCCACTGCCATCTCCCAGGGTCAGGACGTGTACGGCTTGGGATGTGTGGTGGGTGTGGAAGTGTGATCTGGGTGTCTCCTGGGTGCAGACTGCTGAAGTCCTGGGAAGCAGAGCCAAGAAAGGAGAGAAGCCCCTAGAAGTTGGAAGCCCCATGCAGAGGAGTTAACATTCAGACTCTCTGAGAATCCAGGAAGCCTCTTGCCCACAGGACAGCCTCTAGCTCGCAAGAACAGCCTCTGGCTCAGCGGCAGAGCTAATTCCATGTTAGGCATGTGGAACAGCACAAGCCAGAAGCCCCTTTCTTGTAGGTTATGTGACAGAAGATCAGAGGACTAGAGTGACCAATTAAATGTAGGTGCCCCCGAACCCTGCTGCCATGTACTGTTGAGATTCCAGACCTTCTAACTGGCTGGTATGTTCTTTGGCAACTGCCTGTCCTCCCCAAGGTGAGAGAGCAGAGTAACTGAGGCCTCGGTCAAGCTACTTAAGTTTCTGCAAAACGCTCATCATTCTTGCTCCACTGTGGAGGCTCCAGAAATTGTGCTCCATGAGCACAAGGCCCCTGTTTTTAGTACTGGGGATTGAACCCAGGGGCCTCGCACATGCTAGGTAAGTGCTCTACCACTGAGCTAATAATTTAATAATTTCCTTTTGAGAGAGGGTCTCACTAAGTTGTCCAGGTTGACTTTAACTGTGTGATCCTCTGTCCCAGCCTCTTAAATGGCTGGAATTAAATGTATGTGCCACCATGTCCAGGGATCCGTCTTGCTTACAATTGGCACACAACTGACGTAGAGCATGCCTTAGGAAACAGTTGCTAAACAGAGGAGAATCCAGCACTCTGTAGATGAGAACCCTTGAGGACAGCTGGGTCTCCAACCACTGCTGTCAGGGCTACAGGAAGGGTAGGTCTTGGGTAGCATGGGACCCCTTGCCCCAGAGAGGCTTCCCCAGCTATTTGGGCTGTGTGTTAATCATCGTGAAACAGGATGAGGAGCACAGACTCCTAGGGCAGTCAGATTTCCTAGCACTGTCTTTTGTAATGACACCCTGAAGACTCAGACCCTTGGGGAATAGGTGCCTGGGTTTGGGATCAAATTCTAGGTGGCTGGAATCATGTGCAAAGGGGTGTCGGGAGAGAGAGGGAGGCAGAAAGAAAGAGAAGGAGAGAGAAGTAGGTAGTGGTATGTGTGCACGTGTGTGTGCGATCGCCCAAGTACCCTGTGTATGTAACTAGGAGCCTGGAGCTTCCTCAATTTCCAGAAAATCCAAATTTTAGATGAAACAGTCAAGTCCACGGATGCAGATGAACCATATCAGGCCCCTTACTCCCTTCTGAGCCACCAGGCCCAATTCTTGGTTATCCCCTTTGCCAAGGAAGGAACCAGGGTACCAACATCAGGAAAGTCCCAAGGGGGGCCTTGTCCTAGACAGCTCCCGACAAGCTGGAGTGCGGCCTGAACCACCGGGCAGTGGGGAGGGTTGGGGAAGGAAGAGGTACTCACAGTTTCCTGCATGGGGTGACTGAGGGGTTTCTCGAGGGCAGCCATGTTGTTTGGCATGTCCGGGGGATGGGAGAGCTGGGGGGGCCCGTGCATGAAGTCATTCATGGATGTCCCGCCAGGATTCCCATGGGGGAAGTCGAAATTGCCATGGCCCTGATAGTTGTTGCCTGGGGAAGGAATGAGATGGGGACATGGAGTCACCCAGCGCGGTGGTGGCCACCCCCAAGGAATAGAGAGAATAAAGGTAAAAGCCAAGTCCTTGCCCCTCAGGAGGCTAGCAAGGCTCCTGCAGCCTTCCACTTCTGGGCTGCACAACGGAGCAGCAAAGACACCTCCTCTGGTGGGACAGGGTATTCTGGGGCATGCGCTGCTCTACTGTGGATGAGAGGCAGAGCTGGAGAAGGGGGACATGGCACAAGGCCAAGTCTGAGTGGTTCCTCCTGATGGCCATATTTCATAATGGGAAGACCAAAGCACAGAGGTTCTTTTGCCAAGTCCACAAAGCCTCCAAATGTACCAGGCTCAAAGTGACATGAGAGGGGACAGCAGTCCAGCTTCTTCAGTCACCACACTCTCTACCACATGGTGATGGTGAAGCTCCGAGGGTCAGCATGCTGGCACACTGGAGTCCTCAACAAGCCATGGGACATGAACCAGGTGGGCTAATGTCTCTGGGCTGCTAATCACCCAGCAGTCCTGGGGACCTAAGATCAGGGATCCTGGTTAGGGAGATGCCACCCTCTGATTTTTGGGGTGGGATATTTTTTGGACCAAGTAGCAAGCAGTAGGGGTGAAGTGTAGTCTGGCCAGCAGGGAGTAAGAGCCAGTGATGGTGAGCTGGGTAGTCAAAGGCCCTGGGGATCCAGGTACCCGGACTCTGTCCTGGGAGAGTGGAGAGTTGGAGGGACAGGGACAATAAGAGATGTCACAGAAAAACACAGAAGGGTCTGAGGGAGGCAACAGGAGAGTGGCTCTGAGGCCTTGGGCTTTGGCTGCCCTCCCCTCCAAGTGCAGTGATTTTAGGATTCCTGTTTGGAAGTATGTCACCTCTGCCTCTTCACCTTCCCCTCTGCACCTGCTGCTATCAGCATAGAACTTCTGTATCCCCACTGGACTCGGGGCTCCCCCACCTCGTCTGGCATCACCCACCTTGGCTGCTGTAGTCGTTGGAGTTGGTGCCCCCGGGGGGAGGTGGGAGTGGGTAGGGGGATGGGCCAGGGCCCAGGGCTGCAATCATATCCATGACGTTGGGCATGATCATCTGGCTGGGGCTCATGGTCTTGAACCGCTTAGAAGGGATGCCGTCAGGATCGTCCTTAATGTGTAGGTCTGACTTGATGGGCACTGGCCGCCAGCTGCACGTGGGGTCAATGGTGACCTCTTCAAACTCAGAGCTGTGGGAGCAAGGGGATCAGAGCTGAGGCTATGGGGTGCAAAGCCTCCTGCCCCATTTCACCACACGCTGTAAGAACGGAAGCCTGGTGGGGATGTTGACAGCTCTGGGAGATGTGGAGACTGAGGCTAGGGAAATGAGTGGCTGGCCTAGGGCCCTCAAGGCCTGCCACCCAAGGAGCTGCTGCGGGGGTACTGCCAGCTTCCTGTCCTGGCTAGTTCTGTTCCTTCAGAACATGTTGGAACATTCATTTGCCCCAGGTCCAGAAAGTCCCAAGATAAAGTTACAGAGAGGTCAGGGATGTGGTCAGGGTTCTGTCTGTCTGACCAGGGACGTGACTGTTGCTATCTGCACCCTCCCTCTCCTCCCCGCCCCCAGTCCCCCAATCCTGGCCACAGTCCAGCCAGAGACCACTTACTGTTGAATGGCGTTCAGGATCCCCCACATGTACTGATCCACCTCCAGGCCCTCGAGCAGAGCAGTTTTACTGGAAGAGGAAAGGAGGGCCTTGGCCTTAGCTCTTGGGCTCAAGGAAGTGGGACACAGCTGCCTGGCCCCACCCGTGCCCACCAAATCCCACCCCTGCTGCTGCTACATGGGAGGCGGCCCTGTGACAAAGGTTTCTTGCAGAGCCCATGGAACCCGAGCTCCTCTGCTGGGCTTTGGTTCTGTTTTGCTTTTTGGCAGGTGAAAGTGGCTGGAGCCCGGAGAAGGGGGACAGCCAGAGGGAGGGGGCGCTCCTCCCCTTTGCAGCCCCGTGGGGGAATTCTCTGCCAGGACAGTCATCACTCACTTGCACACAGGACACCTCCAGGTCCCTCGCTCACAATTCAATTGTAGATAGGACTCCAGGTCAAAGCACTGCAGAAGTGGAGACAGACAATAGACAGACAAATGTTGAGACGAGGCCTATCAGAAGCTGCCTTGTGCACCTTGGGGAGACTTGGAAGACTGCCCTACCAGGGATGGAGACAGGCAGAGGGTGCAGCGAAAGGCATACCAACTTGTTTGCATGTGAACCAGCCCCTAGTCCCTCTGCCTGGCACCCTTCACACCCCTGACCCTACCTCACACCCTTTGAGATGGCTTCCTGGCCCCACATCCCAGCCAGGTTGCCCTGTGAAAGCCTCTCAGAGAGGACAAGGGCAGTGTGGACTCTGACCACCCCTCTAGCCCAGCCCAGACACTGAGGACAGCTCTGATCACATCCATCCACCCGGCTGGTCAGATAAACAAAGTGACCAGGACATCCATCACACTCAACGTTCTCTCAGAAGGAGGGAGGCTCCTGTTCCCTGGCGTAGCCCTTGGGACCAGCCATGTTTGACCACAGGGTTCCTGGTGACGGCCCAGTGCCACTCAGCATGCCCTTATGGGCTGGCTCCTCACCCCTCTTCTGGGAGACCTTGCCTGAGCAGTCCCTACACAATGAATCTCTCCCAGCCTGGACTGTCCACATGCTCCTAGAGCCCTGTCACAGCCTACCTGGACTGTGACAATCCCTCATGCCCTCTCCTGAGTGCCTGCTTGAGGCAAGGCCCTGGACACAGCAGCTCACCAGGCAGAGGTGTCCCTGCTCTCAGGTCCTGGGCAGGATTCCCAGTCAGATCTACCATCTGCCAGGATAAGGACTCTCTAACCCTGATCCTGTAGCCCTGGGGACCCAGGCCCTGACTTGGCAGAAAGGGTGCCCCAAGCATAAATGATGGCTGCAGGAGTAAGTGAAGGAAGCTGCTGACGGCGTCCTTGGGGTCAGAGACAGGCCCTGCCGGCCCCTCACCACCCCTGCCCACTGCAGGTGCTTGTCTTAGAGCTGCCCTGGGAAGGCTCACCTGGACGTGTTTGCAGTCGTGGCCTCGGGCAGGCAGCTGGATGCGCCGGAATGTGATGGGGCACTTCAGAGATACCTTGATGGCCGTCTGCTCCACGCCGTCCTCCCCGTTGAGGGTGGTGTTGCCCGAGGAGGCAGCCACGCTGCTGAAGTTTCGCTTGACTGTGGGGCGGGAGGAACAGGTGGTTGAGGGGGCCCAGGGGACGGGTCTGCACACACACCTGAACACACCCTGGGTCCTCCCTGCCCCCCAAGCACTGGAGAATGGAACTCATTCTTTCAGGGGTCCTGCGGCCTGGCAATGAGGAATAGCAGCCTCCCAGTGTGACACGTGGGAATGCTCATGCCCAAGGTAGGGACCTGCAGCTCCCCAGTCTCTGCAGAACAGGATCGGCCTTGGCTAGCAATGGGGGACTTTCTGCAAAGCTCAGAAACCGTCTGGCACTTCTCTGATTTACTGGGTCAGCAAAAAAAAAAAGCCCCTCAGGCGCCTTTGCACTTGATTCTGGAGTATGGAAACGGAAACAGACGATGGCGCAAGGTGGCAGTGTGAAGAGCAATATCAGAGGAGGAGGGGGTGTCTACACCCCCTGCCTGGGGCTCTCCCCAGGACAGGACCCCCTCCCAGGCCCAGCCGCAGGCTGTCACTCCTATGCCCACCCAACACCCACTCACTTTTTGTGATGCAGTGCTCTGCAGGTAGGAGGCGCTTTTTGAGGAGGCCTTGCAGCACGGAGCGCACAGAAGGCCGGTGCACCAGCTGCAGCACGAAGAGGTGGGACTGCAGGAGAAAGCAGGAAGCCCACTCAGTCCCCGCCACTGTCCCCAGCCCTGCCCCACCCGTAGCTTCTATAGCCTCTGTTGCCATGGTCCAGACTTTTGAGATCTCACGGTATTGCATCTCTAGGAGAGAGTCCCCCAGGACCAGGGACAGAGCCCAAGAATAGTCAGTGTATTCTGGGACTTGCAAGTCTGGTGCCTGAGGCTGGGGTCATGGCTATCTCTTTTCCATGTCGACAAGGTGGAAGAACTTATGGGACATGTGGCATCAGGAATGGAACCCAGCTGGCTTCCTACCCACCCTCACCCCGTACTGCTCCCATCCTGCGTCTTCAGCCCTTCCTGTCCCAGAGCGATGGGCTTTCCCCCCTCTAGGCCACTGTCCAGGACTGTCCACCCAGCCTCCTCACACTGATAGAGGAATGTCCTTGCCTAGCTCCCCTAGTCCTGTGATTCCCAGCTCTGTGGCCTCAGTGCTCCTGTGCTCACAAGCACAGAACCAGAGCCTCTCTTCTCCTGGGTCCTCAGGGAGACCAGGAAAGCAGCGCATGTAATTCACCCCATGCAAGCTGCCCCAGTACACCCCATGTGCCAGCCCTGATCTCCGGGACAGCATGGCTCAGTCATGGTCCCAGATCAATGACTCCTAGGCTGGAGGGACAAGTGCTCACAAGTGTGGCACATACCCCTCCATGACAACAGGGCTGGTGGAGAAGGACGGTTAACTCTGGACTTAGTGGAGGTGGTTCTGGGGGAAAAGGTGGTTAGAATATGAAACTCTCATACAGATGAGGTGAGTGCAGGCCCTGGCTTTGAGGGATGCACCAGACTTCACAGAAGAGGGGTGCAGGTGGCCAGGGGAACCTGAGGAGTAAGGTGGAGATACGTGGACAGAGTGGAGTATAAAAGGGGAAGAGGCTGGGGCTGGGGTTGTGGCTCAGCCGTAGAGTGCTTGCCTACCAAGTGCAAAGCCCTGGGTTCAATCCTCAGCACCACATAAAAATAAATAAATAAAATACTGTGTCCAACTACAACTAAAAAAATAAATATTAAAAAAAAAGGAGGGGGGAGGCTGAGTCTGAGATCAGAGCACAGTGGCTTCGATCACTCTGACAGCTGTGGGGTGGGGAACAGCAACCCAGGACGCAGCTGGAGGGGACCCGGGGATCCCACACGCCCCACCCCACCACACACTCACACAGCAGCAGGCGGTGACGGTGATCTGGATGGTGTTGCGGCCCGGCTGGCACACGTGCTTGAGGTGCAGCGGCTTGTGTGAGGTCTTGTTGTCCCCACGCTCGATGGTGAGGGGCGTGGCGTTGACACTGACCTGCACCGAGGCGGGCCAGTTGGTGTTCATCTGCCGGTCCTCATGGTGGTAGCACTTGAACTGCAGTTCCAGGTCGGACCTGGGGGCAGGGCTCAGGTCAGCTCTGTGAGGCACCCTGGTGCCTCCAAACTACCATCACCCCTGAGTCCTGCAGGACCTGACCCCCACTGCTGCCCATTTCCCTGCCTGACCACCTCCTCGCTCATCCTGGAGATCCTGTCTCCAGTCAAAACCCACCCCCGCCGAGGCCCACCATTCCCACATACCACCGGCACTCTGTCCATGCTTGCAGCTCTGGCTACTAGCTACCTGGTACCCGCTCCCTAAAAGGGTGACTCCCAATACCTCACAACAAAGACAGAGGGCCTAAAGGACAGACGCTATCGACAAGATCGACTGTGAGGTGGTTACACCCATCTCCAGGCCAATCAGGGGAGCAGCCTTCCACACGGGGCTCCCAGGTACGAAGTATGGGTCAACAGGGCCCACCTAGGTCTGCCCATAGGTGGAAAGTCTTGGCCCCTCCTGAATGAGTGTCCCAGCTCCTGTGTCCTGAATGCCCACTCACACAATAGCAAGGTGTGTAAGTCTATGAGTGAGTGTGGAACTGTGTAAGTCTATGAGTGTGGAAGTGTGCATGTGCCCAGAGCAGAGACCCATCTCCAGCCCTTAGGATGCTCACTGGGCAGCTGTCTAGTCCCAGGAAGGGGGAGGCAGCGTGAGGGAGCCGTGCCTGAGGATGAAGGACCCAGGGGTAGGGGGTACAGGCTGGTTCTGGCATCCAGAGACCCAGGCCCAAGTCTTGGCTCTGCGACTTGCTAGCCCTGAGAACTCCCACCCTTTAAAGCACTTCTTTAGCCTTATTTCCTCAGCTGCCAAAGGGGAAAGCAATGTCACCACCCAAGATCACAGCAGGTTGTGAACACAGGGCCTGGCCCAGGAGGGGGCGCCTAGACCCCATACTTGAGTTCCCCGTGTGAGTGGCAGTCCTGCCCAGTGGTCAGCCCCTTGCCCAGCCTCATCTCTACATTTGAGGGTCTGGCCACGGGAGCCAAGTTCAAATTCTTGACTGCTTTTTCCCTCTTGCCAACTCAGGGCCTCACCCGGGACAGCCTCCTTCTCAGCCACCTTTGTGGGTGGGCAGTCTCCCCGACACTCAGGACCTGGGTAAGTGATACTGCTTCCAGCCCCTGGGCCACTGCGAGTGTCCCAGGAGCTCCCCAGAGCCTCACACAGGGCAGGGCCCAATCAGTGATGCCGAACAGGTGAAGGTGGCAGGAAGCTGCTGCTACCACCCATGCAAGGCCACACCGGGCCCGGGGCAGTCTGTGGCGTTGTGGGAGCTCCCCCGCCCCACCTGGGCTGCGCCCCGCTACACTCACCTCCACATGAGCGTCTGGTGGACCGTGGGCCGCAGGTGAAACACGTGGTTGCTGACAGCCAGGTTGTGCTCCAGGCGGAAGGGCTCCAGCACCACGCCATCCCGCACAGGGAACGTGAGCCGCAGCTCGTCATTGTGGTTGGCTGGGTAGGGACAGGGGCCAGATGAGCCACAGGCTGCCACGGGAACAGTGGCATAGGCTCTGGGGCCTTGGGTGGGACTCACCCCCGTGAAACCGCCTGGGTTGCTAGCTCAGAGGAACTTGGGGCTGGGCCACAGAACCCCAGAAGCTGGGCTGTGACCAAGTACACACCAGGGAACCAGGGAGCCCACCTGTGCCCTCCCATGGATTCCGTCTTCTCCCCTGGGCCTCCCTGCTCCGGAATTTTAGGCTCCTCCTCCTGGCCTCCTCCCCAGCCTTTGGCCACCCAGGTGGGTGGGCAGCCCAACTTCTAAGCCCCCTACTCCTGGCCCACTGGGGAGCTCCCAGGTGACAATGACTGGAGAGGAGACTGCGGGGTCCTCACCTGGGGGTGGCGGCAGAGCGCTCATATTTGGCTTGATGTCAGGTGGGAAGGGCGGTTTAACATCTTGACTGGGGGACAGGTAGGGAGGGATGCTGCTCCCAGGGGTCATGGGGGGCGTGGGGTTCCCTGGAACGGGCGAGTGTGGGTAATTTGCCACAGGAACTGGCCTGGGAGGCTGGAAGGAAGAGAAACCACAAGTAAGATATGGGGTCACAGGGAARGAAAGGACCTGGCTGTGGACACAGCCCCACATTCTCCAGGGCCCACGAGGGTGACCACTCACTCCCCCTAGTGGAGGAGTCTCCCAGGAAACCACTGTCTCCTATGGACTCCGCTCTCCCTGGAAGAGTACACCCCACCCTTCATCGGATCTCACACCATGAGCTGCTGCAGTACCAGGAGAATGCAGATTTCCAAACCCATTTGAMAAATGGGGACACTGAGGCTCAGGGTAACTGGGGACTTGTCTAATCTACCCTAGGAGGAGAGGAGAGCTGGGACTGGCCAGGCTGCCTTCCCACATCAGGACTTGAGGCCACATCCCCCAGCCCCAACCCATGGAGGTCCCCGTCCCCAGGAGCCCTTCTCCTCTCAGTCCTCGCCTTGTTCCCTCTCAGACCCACAATCCTCGTCGGCTCACCACATAGAACTGTGGGCATCTGGGCCCCAAAGCAGATRACCAGGAGGTGTATCCCCCACCCGTGGACACTGCCATCCAGAGAGGCTGGGCAGGCACAGCGAGGACCTCTGGATCCTCCTGCTGCCCGAGGGTGAGAGGTCTGATACTCAATGGGAACATACCCTGTTGACATTCCCTTGGCTGTAGTTACTGTAGCTGCTCCCCGAGAAGGTGTTATTTTGTCCATTAAACTGTTCTGGCTGTTAAAACAAGAGAAGCAATGGTAGGAGCGGAGCGGGAGGCAGGGGCGCCCTCCCTTCTGACGGCGCTGGAGACTGCCTGGAGAACCAGGGGATGCTGAGGAGGCTCTGCCTGGGCGGGAAGGAGGGCGGAGCAGGGTGTCCCCCAGGGACCGTGTTCTGCCCCCTCCATCCATAGTGACTAATTTAGCAAAAGAGCCCAGCAAAATAGCAACACCAGCGCTGCTGAAGTCAGAGCAAAAATGGTAAACCCACGTGGCAGATGGCCGCGTACGCTGGCACGGTTCTTTGGCAAGTAAATGCAAAATAGTGACGTCTTCTTCACGCCTGAGAATGTATTTTATAAAAATCCGGAAGGAAAAGTCTGGATGCCTGAAGAGGTTTATCATAGTATTATTTCAAAAGTGAAAAATCAGAAATAACACAAACATCCAACAGAGGGAGAGAGTAGTAAATCAGGGTGAGATTGTTGGAGTATTAGGCAACTGTGAAAAGTAAGGATGAGCCAGGCACGATGGCACATGCCTGTAATCCTAGYGGCTTGGGAGGCTGAGGCAGGAGGATTACAAGTTCAAGGCCAGCCTCAGCAACTTAGTGAGGCCCTAAGCAACGTAGCAAAACTATCTCAATATAAAATATAAAAAGGGCTGGGTTATGGCTCTGTGGTTAAGCATCCCTAAGTTCCAACCGTGGTACCAATACAAACAAACAAAACAAAACCAAAAAAAAAAAAAAAAAAAACCAAAAACCCACACAGAAAAGAAAAAGAAAAGTGAGAGTAACAGAGACACTATAGCAATAGGTAGTATGCTTATTAACTCGGATTAGGTAAAAAAAAAAGGATGCAAAATTATAGGTGTAGCTGGGAACAGTGGCTTATGTCTGTAATCCCAGCTACCTGGGAGGCTGAGGCAGGAAGGTCACAAGTGTGAGGCCAGCTTGAGCAATGTAGTAAGACCCTGTCTTGAAATAAAAAATAAGAAAGGCTGGGAATGTAGCTCAGGGTAGAGCACTTGCCAAGTATGTGTGGGGCCCTGGGTTCAACCCCCAGTAACAAGAAACAAAAAGATCACAGCTGTAATAAGAGTTTTATAATGTGTTGGTTTAGAATAAAAGTTTAGAATAAAATGTTAATATAGTCAGAGTGTGTAGTTTTCTTTTGAAAAAGGCATTTCCTTATTGTTATTATCTTGTGTGTGCCATTTATGAGCAGGAAAGCCTCATCTAAACCCATAAGAACAGGAACCAAGGGGCTGGGGATATAGCTCAGTTGGTAGAGTGCTTGCCTTGCAGGCACAAGGCCCTGGGTTCAATCCCCAGCACACACACACACAMAAAAGAACAGGAGCCAAGAGAGAGGCCAGTCTGACTTCCTGGCCACTGAAACAGCTCTGAGCATACCCAGAAAACCAGAACCGCCCCCACCCTGCCCTCTGGTGTCTTGGGGGGACTCATGCAGCCCTAGAATGTCACCAGTGAGGTTGAGGATATGAATGTTAGGAGGGTAGTGAGGTGCCCGGAGGTGATGGGACTCACCTTGTAATACTGCCCCATGTTGACCGTGGGGGGCGGGTACTGCCCGGTGCTGGGCTGGCTCGGCATCCTTTGCCCAGGGTAGTTGGGAGAGGTGAGTGGCCGTGGGGGATTGGGGGTGGGGTACTGGCCTGGCTGGGTGGGGAACTGGCTGTTTGGTCCGTATTGCTGGTTTCCATAGTTGGGCTGTGGTGGCAGGAAAAGGAGAGGGGAGAGGTCACCAGTGTTTTGTAGCCAAGCTGCTCACTCCAATGCCGGGACCAGGCCTACCTCCCGACCACGGACCCTGCTGTCTTTCTACCCTGAAATGGCCCGCCTGGTGGAGAGGAAAGGCTGAACCCAACGATGCCGAGCCCTTTCTTGCCTCGACACCTGGGGACATTACACTCTGTCTGTCCAACTCATGGGACACCTCTCCATATGGTCATTTGTCCTGAGGCACATGCCCTGGGGACTCTCGGGCCACTTCCAGAGCTTCTCAGTCCTGCCATTTTGAGGAGGCTCTTTCTAAAGTCCCCCTCTGTGTCTCTCCTAGTGTTTGCTACAGGTCCATGTTCCCCAGGATGCACCTAAATGTGACAGGGAAATGCAAGCCACAGAATGCTCTTCCAGAAAGCTGACACCCCCAGTTATTCTGAGGCTGAGTCTGGGTAGCACTGTCCCTGAACCCCACACTGAGCAGAACACACACACGTTCAGTTCCAGGCCATCACCAATCAGTCGTCCATGCAGAGCCTGGGAGACCTCTCCAGTAAAGGGACAAGATAACCTCTCCCTGGAGAAGCAATTTAGAGAAGATTCAGCGCCACTCTCCAAGTCCAGAGTCAGGTGATGCTCAGGCCCACCTACAGCCCAGACCCCCAGAAAATGACCTCCCGTGGAGTCGCTGGTTTCTTCTTCCTTCTCTGTTGACATTCTTGTCTAAGTGTCTCTCCAGTCCTCTTGGCTTAGAGATCCAGCTGGTGACCATGCCCCAGTGCCTGGCAGGAAGCGGGAGCTCAACCAACACTCGCTCACCAAATGAATGAAGGGCTTGGGGCACACACGAGTGGTCAGCGCTGAAGGACCTTCCACGATACACACTGTCAGGACCTGGTGGCTGCTCTGTGAAACTGTGACCCTCCTTGCTGTAGATGTGGACCTGGATGGCATCTGCCCTCATCTGGGACCAGATGACCTGACTCCAGCCTGCCCTAAGGCTGATCATTCAAATGCGGAGGCGCCATAGTGAGGAGGGGGCGACCTTCCCATAGGGGTCAGGCCAAACAGGTGGAAGCATCCAGCACTGCAATCCAGGACCAGGCAGTTTGTAACGGGACAGCAGTGTTCCAGGAGGACGACAGCTTCTTCAGGAAAGATGAACAGGAACTCTTGGGGTGTTCTCCCGGGGCAGGCATCACATCGGTGCAGGTGCGGGCTTAGCCTTAATGACCAGGGCTCTGCAGTAGCCATGTTTGAGATTACCTGCCTTATGCTGGCTGGCCAAGGTTCAGCTCACAGAAGCAACCCCAGGGCAGCCAGTGGGGACACTGCAAGTGTCAGCACAGGGGGACTGAGAAGAGAGCTCAGAAATAGCGGGGGCTCTGCGCTAGGAGTGAGGCCAGCCAAGGCCTGGGAGGGGGTCCATGGTCCTTTGCTGGCCCCTCCCTGAACCAAGGGATCAAGCCTTGACCCAGCCTCCTGGATGTTTGAGGACGGCTCCCAACCTTTGAACGGCTCCCCTTTGATCACAGGACACCTCCGCTGGTGCCAAGTCACCCAGCTTGTGCTAGAGGAGATGCTGAGGGGACTGCACAGACGTTCAAGGACCTTGTGCTCTTTGGGATTGAAACTCACTGCAAGCCCGACCTGAAGGCCACAGCAAGGAACCAGGCAGGAGGAGGAAGTGGACCTGACAGAGAGCCGGGGCCTGGTGCTCTAGAAGAAGCTGCAGAGGTGAGCAAATGGGTAGGCTTCACGAGCATTCAGGACTCTGGGTCCCAGTGTCTCCTGCAGGTGAACTAAATCCACACGTGGTACCAAGATGGGCCAGTGGCTACCAATTTGTTCTCCCGTGTCACTGGGGGTCTGGTAAGACTCCCTTTCTCTGGCCTCCTGTGGAGTTCTGTACCGCCTGCAGTGTTCCTTTATGGGTTCCGGTTTAAGTCGTTTCTTTTCTGCTTTAGTCTTGGGTTCCTGAGGCAGGAGGTGTGGGTTTTGCTTCCTTGATTCTTCCCCAGCACCTCCCCTTAGCTGACTGTGTGCCCAAGAGCCAGCCACTGCACCTAGCATGGCTGAGGCTGATGGAGATGTGTCCCAGTATTGTGCAGCTGCCTGCCAATCATTGATATCTCTCTCTCTCTCTCTCACACACACACACACACACACACACACACACACACACACACACACATTTACAGGGCATCGTCTCAGCTCTTGCTCTTAGGGGGAAGCCGGGAAGCCCTCGTGTGGACGTGAACCCCTGTTCTTCATGCAGTCACCCAGGCAGCATCTGAGGCAGGACAGAGAGAGTAGCAGCAGTGGCTACTGGTTACTAAGAAGGACTTCTTGTACATGACCTCAGCCAGGAACCCAGGCAGCCCAGTAGGTGAACTGGACTGTAAGTGCTTTTACAAATGAAGAAACGGTGGCTCAGGGAGGGGGCCTGACTTGCTCAAGGACTTCTGGGTGGGAAGCAGCAGAACCAGGTCTCAACCCCAGGTGCCCCAGCTCACAGAGTCCTGCTGCGTGGCCCAGGTTTTCTGCTGGTCCAACTGTACCCTTTCCACGGTAGCACCCACAGCCCTGGCATCTTCAAGCCCAGACCTCCCACTGCCCTCTGCATCCCCGCAAGCTGCCGCCACTCACCTCTCCGGGGTATGGCCTCTTTATGCTCTGAATGGGAAGGGACTGGGGTCGGGGGCCTGGATAGGTCTGCTGGGGCATCCGCTGCCCGTGTGTGCCAAAGGGGCTGATGCCGGGCGGCCGGGGCTGGTTCATGCCCATGGGAGGGCCGCTCATCCCCGAGGGTGTCATGCCAGCCGCCATGCTGGCAGGGTTCATGCTGCCCCCCATGGAGGCAGGCCCCCGAGGCCCGGGCTGGTTCATGAATTGGCTGTTATACGCCTGGGTGGGACCCATCTGGAAAGAGGAACAGACCTTCAACGGGAGAAGAAGAAGAAAAAAAAAAGAATAAAATGCCACATGCATTGAAAGTGCAGGGAAGAAGGGGGGTTAGGGGAGGGAGCACTTTCCTGGGTGGCTGCTGCTGGAGACCAGGCCCCAAGGGACCCCGTCCTCCTGGGCTCACTGCTGTCCTCTGCAGGCCGCACAGGGAAGATGCAGCTCCAGGGTGTTATGGAGTGGGGTGGGGAGCAGTCACTCCAATGCACAGGCAGCATTTCCAGGGAAGCAGGCAGGGGACGGGGAARAGTGTGCAGGGTGAGGAGGGACATGGGGAGTGGCACTGGAGGGTGGAGGCAGATGAGGATGGAGGCTGAAGCCCCTTTCCTGGAAGTTCTGGTCCTTGGGTAATGGAGACACACCCTCCGTCCACAAGGTCTGACTCAGTTCCAGTTTTCACTTCTGCTATGTGGTCCCCACCTCCACACCTCCTGTCCTGCATTGCTACGGGGGTCCTCCTGCTCACACCCCAGGGCCTTCCTGAACTGGCACAGTAGCAGATGCACCAGCGGACCTACCCAGGGCCCCGGCCCAGGCCTCCAAAGTGTTCTGGGAGACGGGTTGGTAACAGGACTATCTGTCGACACTGAGCCCACTCTTCGGTGAACAGGGGGGCCAGACAGCAATACAGAACCTCTTTCCTCGTATGCAGGCACACCAGCCCACATCGAACACACGCAAGCTTCCACATACCCGCACTGCACCCAACCAGGCTGCCACACTCACATCCGTACACGCAGTCTCTGTGTGCTTCAGAGAACACCCGGCGCACCCTGGCACCATCGGCTCTCCAGCACACACAGCCCCACAAGCATCTGCACTCTGACTTCCCAGGCTGTCTGTCCGGGCGAGGCTGGGGCAGGATGAGCAGGAACCCTTACCGGTCCATATTGGTTAATGTCCTTGTTCTGCGTCTCCTGCAATGCTGCCACAGTGGCCGTGGCCGTGGCAGTGGCTGTGGCTGCCGCTGCTGCTACTGCAGCTGCTGCAGCAGCAGCTGCCGGCTGAGTGAAATCAGCAGGTGGCCTGGTGTGCGGAGGGATGCCCATGCCGCCAGGGGCACTGGGACCCCCAGGGTAACTGCAGGGAGGAGAAGGACGGAAGAGTCAGACACTGCCTGCGCCTAAAGATGAACTCAGGACTAATCTGGGGCTGGGGGGTAGGTGGGGATGGGGCTATCCTTGGACTCCAGCTGTTGGGTGTATGAGGCACTCAGATGCAGAGACAAGAGGGAACAAGGGACTCCTGAGGTTGGCAGCCATGGTGCCACTCAGAGATGACCAGTCCCTATGCTTGGAGCCCTGGCTGTTGTGACACCCTCACCACATGCTCTTGGTTGCCTGGTCAGCTGTCCTCTAGGGGTCGCTGGGCCCCAGCAAGCCTGAGCAACTTGCCCAAGGCACTCAGGCACTGAGAGCAGAGCTGCAGATGCAGCACCAGGTGCGCCTGACACTTGAGTTTAACCAGCAGGGCTGAGGTCTGTACAGGAGCCAGGGAAGGTTAAAGCCAAGGTGGGGGTTTTGCTAGGGTAGGGTGGGCACCTCTGCTTGTCTGCGTCTGCCCTGCCTCAACATCCCTGGAACTCCTTCCTGGGGTTCCCTGCTTCCTTCACAGACCAGTAAGACACAGTGGCTTTTCCTTGGTTGTTTAACAAGCCTGGGCAAGTGGGAGAGCCCTTTCTAGCTGCTCTGCAGCTCTCCTGGTTCAGCTCTCTCGATGGCCTCCAATATAAAGATATGAGGCAGAGAAGAGTCACTGGGAGGAGTGAGAACCTAGTAGCCCTCCACTCCTGCCGGCCCGAGAGCGTGCCACTCAGAGATGACCAGTCCCTATGCCAGGACACGGCCCAGCTGCCGCAGCACTGAATCTGCACTGAATCTCAGTTGTCTGGGCTGGCTGCAGGCCAGCCCAGATAACTGAGGGGACGGCCAGGAATGAGACAAGTGTCAGCCCCTGCCCAAGCTTCTCAGGCTAGGAAGCATGACACTGGGAATTCAACTGGACCCTYGCATGTACATGGAGGGTGGACATACGGCCAAGCTCCCCGCTGCCCGCTCACCTGGCCCCGAAGCCCCCGCTGCCGGGGTAGTTGGGCCGGCCATACACGCTCTGCTGGATGTAGGGCTGGGCGGGGCCGGCCTTGGCCGAGAACTGCTGCTGCTGTCCAGCGAACTGCGGGGAGTTGAGGCCGGGGTTGCTGGTGGTCATGCCCGACGCCATGGGGTTGCCGCCTGGATTCATAGGGTTGTTGGCATTGGCCATAGGGTTCCCAAGGACCTGTGAGCAGAGAGAGTGGTTATCCCCCAAACTGGTACCCGAGGTGGCATGGAGACAAAAATGGAGAAACAGAGAGGGGGAGGGAGGAAGAGGGAAAGAGGGGGAGGACAACAGAAGAAAAGTAGGTGGCGGTGCAGAAGGACTCCCAGAGTTTACAAGGGGGTAGGCTGGGAAGCAGGCAGCGGCGGGGGGGGGGGGGGGGGGGGGGGGGGGGGGGGGGGGGGGGGGGGGGAGATGAGGGGATGCTCTGACCAAGGTCCACTAGGTCTGGGCAGTTCTGGAGAAGGGAGTGAGGCTGGGCCTGCAGCAGGTGGTGAGTACTGGACTCCTCGGTCCCTGGCCTACAACAGGGTCTGGATGCCCAGAGGGCTGGGCACACAGAGGCCCCGGGCTGCTACTCTGGAGGGCAGAGGACCCTGGCCAAGAGGCCTCCTGGGGCCTGAGATGACACAGAAGCACAATGGCTCACTCCAGCATGGCAACCAGCCTTGAGCCTTCCAATGGGGCTGTGGCTGACAGAGGTTGGATGGGTGGGAGACCCTCTGTTAGGGAGTAAGAAGGGAGGAGGAAGGAAYAAGCTGGAGACAGGCTTGACGAGGGGGATGGCTGAGGGCTTGTCACAAGGTCAGTGCATGACCTTTTTTGCTGAAGTCTGACCCAGGGCATCTAGAGTCAAAGAACCCAGACTACACAGGAAGTTCTCCTGCTTATTCATCCAGAGTAAATGTGGCTAGGGAACATCCTTGTAACCCGTCCAATGAAAGTCAATCTCCCAGGAAGGCTCTAGGATGGGGGCAGTCCACAGSGGCTCAGTTGTAGCCCTCCTAGGTAGGTGCAGACCCTAACTGGGGTGGAGATGTGCTGGCAGCTGGGTGCACCCTGAAAACAGGGGTGCCAGCTACAGCCTGGGAGAGCAAGGGGGACTGGCACGGCAGGGGGGCCTCAGGAATGAGGGGGTGCCTGGAAGAGGCTCTTACCTGGCTCTGGGATGTGTTGGTCACTCCCCAAACCGTGGTGACCACGGACAGGGAGCCGGGAGGCTGGTTGGTGTTCTGCTGCCAAGGGACAGAGTCATAGGGGAATGACCCATCACTGCAAAGGGARACAGAGGGAGGTCCTCAGGGGCTGGTGCACAGGGCTTGGGTGGGGCCATGTTCTTCACCCCATCATTCTGCCACTGYTGCAGCAAGTTCCAGGTGACCCCATCCCAGTTAGCACAACCCTCCATCCCCAAGCCTCTCGTGGCRCCTGGGACAGAACAGGTGGGCCTTGCATGGTGGCAGGCTGTACAGAGAGTGCCTCCCCCATCCCTGAGGGGCCAACCCTGTGTCCGCCTGCCTCACCTTGGCCCCAAGTCCACAGTCCATGAAACGGAAGGAAGCCGTGTGTCCTGAGGCTTGACCTACGCCCCTTCTGCAATCATGGTAACTCTGTGCAGCCCTCCAGGAAGAGCCAGGTCCCTGCACCACCTCCCCTGGGGGACTGCCGGGCCCCTTCTCAGCAGAGGCTAAAAGGGTTTGTGGTGGAGAACCTCAGCTCTTCCCACCCCCTCATAGCAGGCTGGCTACTGAGCCCAGCTGGCCTGGTCTTTGGAATGCAGGCTTCTTAGGTCACCCTTCCCTCCTAAGCGAGGACAATGCAGGTACAGGCCAACCTGCCTTAGTCCTTCCCCTGCCCCCTCCCATCTCTTGTGTGCATCTCTGCTGAGCTAATCCCCCGCAACACCTAAGACCCTCAGCACAATCAAAGTCCTTCAGTGGCTTCCAGTGTTGACAAGGCAAAGTCCAAACGCACACTGAGAATGATTTACCCACTAACTCCACGGACCCCACATCTATCCAGCTCTGCCTCTGAACTGCCCTGGACGCCTGCCCCTCCCTGACCTTGCATCAGACCTGCCAGTGCCCATCTGACCTGGTGAAGTCTCTCCAAGGAGCCCTCAGCATCAGAGCCAAAACTTAACTCCCCCCCGCCCCCCCCGTCCTGTCCCAGGCGAGGAGTGGCCAGCAAGGTCTCCTGCCAACCGCTGAGGTTCAGGAGCAGGGAGGGCGCCTGCAGATCTCAGGGAGGAACAGGAGCTTGAGAAGGAGCAGGTGGGGTCCCAGCCCCGGTAGGGACTGAGCTGAGGCCACAACACCCCTAGAGCCTGTGCCGGGTCTCCTGTACCACCCTGCCAGGGAGGCCACAAAGTCCCAGCACACAGGCCCCAGGAAGGGCAGAAAAGCAGAGCGCCCACATCCATGGCCCCAGCAAAGCCCACAGAGCACCGTGTGTGCGCGCACATGCACACACGTGAGCCACGCTAGAGACAGGGTCTGGCAGAGGGCAGGGTGGTGGGAAACAGCTCGTGCCTTCCTTAGGAGACTCGGTCCAAGGTGAAGGCTCACCTGAGCCCTGCCCGAGGGGCCATCCAGTCCTGGAGGCTGGGGTGGAGGTGGTGGAGGTGCCGAGGGCACTGCACTCATGGGAATGCAAGTGGGTACGAAAACCAGCCCGAGGCCAGCGCTCCAGGAGGGAGTCCCGCGTGCCAGGCAGGAGTGAGGAGCCAGCGCAGCTGCTCTGGTGCCTGTGCTGCCTGGGTGGGTCCTTGGCGATGCTGGTCAGGTGGTGGGACCCTGTAGCGGGCTGTGTCACTGGGGCTCACTTGCCCTTCCCCTGCCTTGGCCACCTCTCTCCTGATCTCCTTCTGCCTGGGGTCTCTTTTCAGAGGTCACCTGTGTGGAGGGGCTGGCCCGGCCTAGCCCTGCCCTCCTAATATAAGAGCCATCTCTGCCCCACACTCCTTCTCTCCCTTTCCCTGGCTTTTGAGTATTTCCACAGCACTTTACCACAGTTATGATCATCTATTTTGTTATTACCCTCAGCAAGAGCAGAGCCCTGTGTTTGTTCAGCATCTACCTGGACCCTGAGAGTGAGCTAGACCTGGATGTCTGCAGTCCTCAGTGAATCGAAATACTGAGGGACAAGGGCGCTGGCCTGTGGCCTGTCTCTAAAGGGAGTCCCTGAGCTCTAGGAAGCTCCTGCCCACCCTGYACCAGCACAGACTTCCCCCCGTAGACCAAAGGAGGTTTCCAGGCTCGCCCTGCACAGGGTCCTAGAGCAACTCGGCCTCACTGTTCTGGACCCTGATGCCCATCCAGAGGCTGACCCTGGATGCAGGTCCTGGTTCTACTCCTCACGAGCTCAGGGTCCCRGTGCAAATCCCCACATTGCTCCTTACATAAAACGGGCAAGCATGATGCCCCCCTCTATTCCCTCGGTGTTTTCTAGGTATAGGTCACAAAAACACGAGTAGGTCAGGACACTGAGCCAGCACGAGAGGAAAAAGTGATCAAGCCTGAGCTCACAGTAGGACGAATGCTATTCCTTAACCTTCTGTGTTGGTCTAAAACACACGTGGGCTCTGGGGTACTGTGTGTCTTCACCGTAGGTCTCAGGTGCTAAGACTGATGCGGCTCAGAGACGAAAAGGCTTCCTCAATTGGAAAGTGACACACTCATGACTCATGATGTCTGACGGGGAAAGAGCAGGAGTAGAATCTGGGGGAGCGATGAACTCAGCCGCACAGACAGGATGAGGGTCAGCGCTGCTGCTGGAAGGAGGGAGCACAGACAGCAACAGAGCTGGCAGCCTGGGGACCAGGAGCCTAGAGGAGCAGGCTGGAGCAACATGGGAAAGCAAAAAAAAAAAAAAAAAAAAAAAAACCTAAGCAGGCTCTTTGGGAATCTGTGCAAAGGACCCCCTGTTCTCCCAGGGAGGCAGCTGAGCATGAGGTGGCTCCAGGGTGGCAGAGCAGCATCTGGCAAGGAGGCCCTGCAGGAGACGGTTTTAAAAACAGAGATCCCCAGATCCCTGACACTCACTGTCCTGCAGGGCTCGCAGCCCAGGTGTGCTGGATAAACAMAGGTTCCCCCGGCAACGGAGCAAAACACAAGCTTGAGTCTGTTTTCCCTCCCCAGAACTCTAGCCCACAAGTTCCCACTGACCCTCCAGGCTGATGGTGGTGTAGACAAGGTTTCTGTCCTTTTAGAACTTGCCTGGCCATGCTCAGGAAGTGACCCCCCTCCGGGGCCCAGGCAGCTGCTGGCTCACCACCTCTGCAGGGGAGGCCCCTTGCTCATGGGGATACTGTGCTGGAGGCCCACAGGCAGCTCCTGACTGCCCTGCAGCTCCGTGGGTGGGCCTTGTGGGAGGAAACTGGTTCCTTCCTGTTTCGCCCACTCCACCCCAAACTCGGTGAGAAGCAAAGTTGACTAATGTTCCCAAAGTGGGCATCCCACTGCCTGGCTGGAAGGGTCACTGTCCCAGAGCAAAAGTGCATGCTGAGGATGCGTGCATATCCGGGGCTCTGCTGCTTTGCTGCCTTGCACGCTGGGGGCAAGAGAGCGCACTGGGGAGCGCGGTCTTGGTCTTGGGGCCTCCGTGTGCACCTGCTACAGAAGCAGAAGTGGCAGCCGTGCTGGTGCAGCTGTGACTCATCCTGTGTGGGACAGATGCTCCTGCCGGCACTGAGGGCTCTCGCCCCCGCAGGCCGCCACAGCAGCCAGCCCTCCTGCGTCCGCCTGGACTCATGTAGTCCCAGGGCGCTACCCGGTCCCTGTGCCCAGGCAGGGGCTTGGCTGTGGTGGGAGGGAAGCCTGGGGCAATATAGAGAAGGCCCCAGGGGCTTTAGGGGATAACTGGAGACCCCTTCTGATCCCCTGACAAGCACTGGTGACCCTGCAGGCACGCTCAGCCCCGGGCAGGGGTGTTTGGCCTTTTGGGACTGCCTATCAGGGGCCACGTCCCTTCCCTGTCCTTGCCTCGCTGCAATGCAGAGGGAGGCCTGAGCTCCCGAGGTCTGAGAAGCCCACTCTGGGCGACTCTGCTCTGCTCTGTAGTGAGCCAGCACGCACCGTCCCCACCTCATGTCACACAGTGCCCTCAGCCACAGTCCTGTCCAGGCACAACCGCCCCAAAGATCCTGGTCCATCTGCTGTGAGGCGGAGAAGCTACTTGTGTGGGCTCTGGGGTCTGACTGGGGTCGAACCTCAGCTCTGCCTTTGCCAATCCTGTGACCTTTACCACTTCATTTTCCACCAGCCTTAGTTTCCTCATCGGTAAGTGGGACTTAACACTTTCCTAAGAGGAAAGGTGAGAATATGGGTGAAATGCCTGGCAGTCAGACCCTGCGCAGCTGCCYTTTCTCTCCCTCCAACTCTCCCCGCCAGCCACCTGCAGGTACCCATATTTGTTCAAGGATACACTGAAAGTGCTTAGAAGTTTTACAAATATGCTATTGATGAGAGGGGCCGTTACCATTCCTCTCGGTCAACTAAAAAGAGTTTTCCAAGCCTCTGAGGCTTACCTTGGTATTCTCCTGCCTTCCCATCTCTAGCTAGTGAACTCCTACCTATACTTCAAAGCCCAGCCTGCATACTCCCTTTCATGACTTTCCTAAGTAAAACCAAGGGCGCGTTCCTCTGTTCCCTCAACCTTTTTGTGAATATTTTATGGAGAGCTCTTCCCACTGCAGTTACAGGAGATGGCTTACATGTCTGTACCACTCCGTGGCACCCAGCGAGATTTGCTGGATGTGAGAAAATGAGGTAGGCCTGGGGTGAGGAGTGATGGACCCAGGCCGCCGGGTACTCCCAGTGCCAGTGTCTGCACAGACATTCATGGAAGGCGGGGAGGCTTGCGCTTGTAGCTGCTGCTTTATTTGGGAGAAATAACCAATTCTCATGAAGGGTCTTGTCAGAGCCTAATTAATTTCCCTGATCCGGCTGCGTTGGCCCTGGCTCCGCACAAGGCTGTAGCGTGGCTGCTAATGAAGCGCCGAGCCGGTGAAGGGCCTGCGCTCCTGGTCTCTCTAATTTAGGGGAAGCATTAACATGTTCTCCATCATCACGATTACTGGGGCCTCCTTCCTCCCCTCCCTGCGGGGAAGTCGGGAGGCTTCCACAGGAAGGAGGAACAGAAAAGACCTCTGCGTCTTAGCAATCTGGAGCAGGTGGGGCAGGAGTTAGGGGTCTTTCAATTCTTTCTGTGCTTCTCTTTGAAAAAAGGAAATTTTCTGGGGGCAAGAAGGGCTCATGTAAGCTGAGCTTCGCTGCTGCTATGCAAAACAGAGCCAGAAGCAGCAGCTGTGATGACGGTAGGGAGGTGACCAAAGTGAGGGGAGAGTGGGGCTGGTTTTGACTGACCCATCTCTGTGGGTTGACCAGGAATGAGCAATCAGGGCCAAATGGCACCAGGCCAAGGCTCGGGACAATAACGACTAATCTGTGGGACTCCAGTGTGCCAGGGTTGGCCATAAGCATAGACTTCCAGCCCCTGATGCTACGGCCCTTCTATGGATGGGAAAGCTGAGGCACAGAGAGGTTAACTAACTACCCAAAGTCACCCAGCTAGAAGACAGCAGAGCTGAAACCCAAGGCCCAGGAGGCTGGCTCCAGGGCCTGTTCCCACCTGCTACCCTCAGGGGACTCCTCCTCTGAGTGTCAAATCCCACACCTGGAACAAGGGTGGTACCCTTTGATCTTGGAATCTTCCCCAGTTCCAGCTAGCTTTAATTGTAATCAAATTAACAGCATAAACAAGATTTATTAGGCTTTTAATTACCTTTGCAACACTGATTTGCATATGGACAATGTGCTAATCACAAATGACTTTCTTAACCACTCGTTAAGAATCCAGGGGAGGAAGGCAGAAATAGTGGTTGGCATCAGGTCTGGGTCACTGCAGGGACACAGAAGGTGTCCTAGTGCCCGCCAGTGTCTGGAACCTCACAGGACCACAAGGCACCCCCTGGCCTCTCCTTCCTCTGCCACACACTGTGTCCAGTAGCAAGGACAAAGTGGGCTCCTCAAGACTTTCACAGTGTCCACATTCCTGTGGCCATTCTCAGAAACTGCCACAGGGCTACGGTAGCCCGAGCTGTCCCTGGCACCTCACTCATAGTGCTGAATGTCCTCGTGTCCCCAGAGGAACTGTGGGACTCAACTAGGCCAGCACCACGCGTGCAGCCACCACCCTGGGAGGGAGAACAAGCCGGGACTCTCAGCCTCACCCAGTGGCACAAAGTGGACATGACTGTGGCAGTTGAGCCACAGGAATCCTGCAGTCACCAGGGACCTTCCAGGGCTTGGGGGCGGGGCGGGGGGGGGATGGACGTCAAACTTTCAGGCTCCTTGGCCCCGCCCCTCTGCTTGTCCTGGGACCTGAGTCTTCAGACAGCCAGCCCCCTCTGAGCAGCACGTCCAGAGCATCCCAGAGCCCAGCTCTCCCTGGCCCAGCGTCTGTCTCCTTAACATAAAGGCACAGAAGCCACCTTCCTCCAGGTCGCTAAGGTCATGGCTGAAGGTGATGGGTTCTGTTTTCCAACTCTGAAAGCTCTCAGTCTTCTCTCCCATTTCCTTCCCCTTCCCGTTTAGGAAATTACATACGGGGCCTTAAAAGGTGAAGGGCTRTGCTGGGGTTCCCCTGGAAACAAGTGATTTCTCCCCTGGGACATWCAGGAAGGTCACAAGGAGAGACATGGCTAACTTGACCTGAGTCTTCAAACAGCCAGACCCCTCTGAGCAGCTGTCCTTGGAACAGTGCTCGGAGAAGAACAGGWTGCTGGCCCTTGTTCAACTAATGACAATCTTCTTCCAAATTATTACTCCCAAATGAGTAACAGGTGGATTGGATCAGAACRGTAGGTGACCCTCTTCCAAAAAGACCCCCTTGATCACGCTGATAACTAGATACCACTGACCTTGATCTAGGAGTAGCAGGGTGACGGTGGTGTGCAGAACCCTGCTCTGCTCCTTACTGGCTGTGTGTTCTTGGGCAAGTCTACCTTCCCACTCGAGGTCCAGTTGCCCTTTCGGTTCTGCCACTCAGAAATGGGGAGGGCATTATCCAGAAAGCCCACCATCTTGCTTGGCTGAGAGGAGCCCTTATTCCATGGGACTGGTTGGTTACCCATCCATACTTAGCAAGACTTCTGGCCCACGGGGCTCTCCTTTCTCTGCAAGACCATCTGGGTCTGCAGAATAAACGCCAGCATGGTCTTTGAGCTCCCGGACCACCTGCTTGGCACTATCTGTCATTTGGCTGGACCTCTGGGGAGCCAGACTTGAAGTGGTGGCAGAGGAACAGGGCCTGGGATGCTGGCTGGTGGCTCTTTGGCTCATGGCACTTCTTGGCAGGGCCAGTGTGAATTCATAGAATGCATGTGCCTACGCCCAATCCAAGTCCTTGACAGTTAAGATCCCCGTCCTCTGAGCAGCCTCCTGACACTCGGCCCTGCTCACCTTTCTCCTTTTGAACCCAAAGTTACTTAACCCTAACCCTGCCTGGATCCAGTGTCCAGATTGCCCTGTGAGCCTTCCTTCCCTGGCTGGCTWTCTAGAGCAAAGACACTCATCATTTCCATTTGGGATGGAACAGTCTCATGCCTGAGCTCAACTGACAACTAGACCTGCAAAGGGCTGGCTGTGGTCTAGATCTGTAGCCTGATTATGGTCAAGCAGGTCTGAGGCGGGTCTCTAGTAGAGAACAAGGGGGCTCCCGTCCATCATCAGCATCCACTTTGCTGAAATGACTTGGAGGAGAGAGGGTTGGGAAGGAGAGGATACCTGGACTGACGGGTGCAGGGATTCTGGAGGGATGGCTGGCCAGGCCAGAATCCTGAGCTAAGGCATCACAAAGGCATTTTCCAAATAAGCTGCTTTGGTTACTATTCAGCCACTGCCTGTGCTCAGAGGCTGGGCCCCAGACACGACCTGCAGAAGCTGGAGCTGGAGCAGGGATCGCAACACAGGAGGCAATGGTTTTCAGCCAAAGGTGATGCACTGCTCTCCAAAATGTGTGAGGGTGCTTTTTGCTTGGTGGGGAGAGGTCAGTCATGAGAAGACTCAAGCAGACAGCGACCAAGGGAAATGTCCTGCGAAATCCTGCACCACAGAAAATTCCCCTGGCCAAATGCCAACCCGGCCGAGCAACACTGCCACAGAAGGGAGGCAGAAGCAGTTGTCAGTGTCCGGGTCCAGAGTCTAGCAAGGCAGTGACCCTGGGTGGTGGTGGGCTGGCTGTGGTACGAGGTGCCCCTGACCGAGGCAGGGCACCACATGTCAGGGAGATCCTGCCCAGGCAGGGACTGGACTTGATGAGCACTAAGGTCCTTTCTGGCTCTGAGAGTCAACAAGCCTTTAATTTGATTTATAAAGCATGGTTGACACTCGAGTGCCCAGCAGTGCCTCTGTGGTGCAACCCAGGTCTGCYTGCAGCGTGCTCTGGGCTGTGGATTCCTCGTTCAGGCTGGATAATGAGAGCAGAGCTCTGACTGCAAATGCCCCTCCCGGTCATTAGCAGGGACCCGCACAGGGAGTGCAGACAGCATGACAGGCTCCGTTGTTCCAGGGTCAGCCTGCAGAGTGCTGGAGAGAGCATCCCGGCTCAGCAAGGGACTCTCGAGATAATTAACTGAGGGAATTGCCGGGCTTGGCCACGTGCTCTTCTGAGGCTAGCGCAGGGCGGAATGGCCAGTCCTTTGGTGCCTGAAGGCCTCCAGCAAGCCTGCTCCTGCCTATGACCCCAGACTTCCGGCAGACCCAGCCCAGACTCACTTGGCTCCAAGGTGATTGACCTGAGCTGCTTCCGTCCCCACCTGGGGCAGGACCACCAGCCCTGTGACCTTCCTGAGACTTTGTATGCTCCATTTTTTTTCTGTCTTCCCAAGACCCTGAGTTCAGGACTTTTTAAGATTCCTGCAGAAGTCCAGAATCTACAAAGAAAGAGCCCCATGCAGGAACAGGGCAGTGGGGCTGGGTAAACCTAGTGTCCTTGACCTGTTCTGATGGGGGAGAAATGTGCTCACCAAGAGGATTCAAAACCCAACTGTATCTTTGCAGACGGGGCATCTTTTCTGTGTCAGAGGCCCCTTCCCAGTCCTTATGCTTGAGGGGTGTTTCTAAGGAGACCAGGGCACCCACCCGGGCAGCCTGGCCCCGCCCCCTGGTGGCCTGTGCCTGCTCACCTGTGCGACAGAGTGGGTTTCATGGAGCTCATGGAGTTGAGGGGGGGCTGCATGGGGAGTTTCCCGGGGGGGTCGCTCTGACGGCTCTTCTGATGTCGGAGCAGCAGCAGGCGGCCAAGCTCCTCACACCAGGAGGACAGCAGGGCTGCAAGGAAGGACAGGATGGTCAGTGGGCACCTGGCGGCCATGCCCTGCCACACTTGGTCCCCGCCTCACCCTCCCCGGACTGGGTGGTGTTGACGCCAACTTTGCTCCCGGATTCAAGGGACACCAGGAGACTCACTAAGTCATCTTGGGAAGCCTCAGCGTTCTCAACTGTAAGATGGGACTAGCACCTCTGAAGGAGGATTCAAACGCACCTGTTGTCAAGAGTGGATTGGAGGAGGGTTTTAATGGCTACCACACAGAGTGGTATCAGTCGGGGCAAGAGATGGAGGAGAGGGTCTAGACACTGAAGAGGAGGGCACAGACGGAGCCAAGGTAGGGACAAGGGATTAGAGGGCCTGACACGCACGACCTGTCGGGGCCTGGGTAGGCACTGCTTGCCGCCCCCAGACTTAGCCCATCCCTTTACACTTGGAATGGTCAGCTCAACGTGGCTTCTAATCATGGGCATGGTCAAAAATTTTAAGTTTGGACAAAATCCACAGCTTTCTTGGAGCCTGCTGACAAGCCAGGAGTGTCTGCAGGACTCTCCCTGAAATACCTGCTAAGCACACAAGTGGGTTCACGCCTCTTGGTCCCCACACTGCTGGGAGGACAAAGGGTTTCCATAGCAGAGGGTGGTGGGTGCTGAGCAGGAGACTGCCCAGGTGCAGGCACATGCAAGAGCTGTCTGCATCCAGGCCGAGTGGCCTCGACTGCCCTGGGTGAAGAGGAGAGAGCTTTTCTTTCATCCTTCACTGTCTCAGTAAGTATGGCTACCAGGGGCCAAAAGCAAGCTCAAGATTAGTGTGTCTCAGCCTGGGCTCCAGGCCGGCTGATCCTTCCAACGTGCAGGACGACGGAGCCAAGGTTGGAGGGGGGTCAGGAAGCCTGGGCTCTGTCACCATCTCTCTGTGTGATTCTAAGCCACTCACAGACCCTCTCTGGACCTCAGTTTGCTTGGAGGGAAAGAGGGGCAATATCTCTTGCCCTGCCTTCCTCCCCCGGCTGTGGGAAGGGGCAGGTGGAAGAAGCCAGATGGTGTAGCCCAGGGAGACCCCTCCTCAGCAGATGCCCCACTCCTGCTCCAAGCACTTCAGCCACAATGACCTCAGGGGTCGGGAGGCAGCTGACCTGTCAGAGGGCTCTGCTTAGCCATTTGGCTGGGTGCAAAGCCTATTCCCTCACTCCAAGGGTCACCCATCTGGACACCATATGACACTCTCCTGCGTCCTTTACTCCCATCTGCCCATACAATCCAGGACATTCCCTGTTATTGTTCCCATTCTACAGACGGAGCCTCAAGCAGGTTGAGTCACTAGTAACCACAGCTGGACAGTGGCAGAGACAAGCGACGGTGCCCCTGCTCCTGGCAGAGGCCTGTCATAAGGGAAAACCCCAGGTGGTCTCCTGGCTCCTCTGATTTCATAAGGAACCTTGGAGTCACTCCGACAGCATGCTCCACTGGTATTGGGGGAACGTGACAAAATACGCAGTGACCAGGAGTGGCTGGGCACTTCACAGAGTCCCCATCAGTGTAAGCCCCAAGAGGTCTTGCCAGGGCCACTGCGTACATCTGCTTGGCTCACGTGGGGAAGAAAGATGGCCATCCCAAGAAGGTGAGTGGGGGCTGCAATCCCAAAAGGGCACCTGGCTGCCTGGGGGTGGGCCATGGATGGTCTGAGTCTTAAAAGATGGGTCCTTTCTCTCTCTGCGGGGTCACCTTGCTGCCAAAGAGGGAGGAGGGTGTCAGAGAGGAGACACCCCCCCCTCAACCCCGACCTTGTGTGTCTTCCCAGAAACTGGCCAAGGTTCCTGCAGTGGGTGCCCAGCACACATCTGCTGCCGCTGGAGGGCGGGTGGCCTGCCTATTCAGAGAGGCAGGAACAAACAGAAACGCGTTTCCAGATCGCCCCATTCTTCTCCCAGGCCCCTAGTTACCGCTTCTTGTGTGGGGGCACTGGGCATCTGGAAACTCATTTGCACGCCAAGCACGAGGCCCGCCCGATCACAGCCGTGGGGACCGCTCGGYTGCCACACAAAGGACAGCTGCAGACGGTGCCGCCTGCTGCCCGCCCCTCCCCTCCCAGCCCTCGCTCCTCCTGGGTGTCAGCCACGCCATGCGCCATGGGGGACGCAGGGCTTTCCTTCAATGCCACAGGCTGCCCCCSGCTTGCTCAAGGACAGCCCTCGTCTTCCCATCCCTAGTGAAGTGGTTTTCTGTTAAGGAATAAAGGAAGGACCGCTTTGTGGCAGGGCTTGGCCGCGACCTCGCGTGGGGGAAAGCTGCATTCCGGCAAGGGAGAGGGGAAGGCGGTGCTGGCGACGGAGGTACATGCCCTGGCCCCGCTGGCAGAGGCTGTGCCCGCACCCACCTTCTGCAGCTCCGCTCACGGCGGGGGGGCGGACGCGGTGCATGTTCTCATGATGGCGCAAACCAACGTGAGTCTTTAGGAGGCAAATGCCAGSTGATGACAACACACAGGAATTTATGGCCAAAAAAGGAGACTGGTCCCTGTCAGAGGACCAGGCGGCCGGACAGGGCCAGACAGAGGCAGGCGGGGGATTACGCAAGGACAGGGTGACACGGGTCAGGCAGGGTTCTGTGTGTGCCTGGATCTCGGGTCACGCACAGCACACATCTGATCTGGGAAAGGCCATCTGCTGCAGCGAGGCGGGTCTGGCCTCCACACCTGCTTGACCTGCCTTTGTCCTGTGCCCTGGCTGGGTGTGGTACAAACAGCCCGAGGACGGGTGACAGTCCAGGAAGGTCAGGTGTGGTGTGCCAGAGTGCCTGGCAACAGGGCAGTCTCAGTCCTAACCAGCACAGCTGCCCCTTGCCTTGTCCTGAGAGTCCCACTCACCAGTGATAAGAAGGCTGTCCCCAAGTCCCCTTTTCCACATTAAAACAGCAGCTAGGATCACGCGTACCTTCCCCTTTTACAAAGTGCAGCTTGCCTGCTTCAGGGCAGCCCTGGGCAGCAGGTGTGACTGCCTCTCCTGTTGACAGCGGTGGGTGATGCACCTGTGGCCAGATGTGTACAGGCTACCTGCACAGCTGACAAGAGAGGTCACTGTGACCAAGGCCACCCTCAAGAGCTGAGCATGTCTAAGGCGAGATACCCCAAAGCTGACCGGACACTTGGAAGTGCTCTCTGGCCTTTCCGTGCTCCTTTCTGGCCACCTCCCAATCTGGGGTGTTGGCAAGGGGAGGACCTTCTGCCCAGTCAACACTGGGAATCAGAGGTCAGCCACAGCCAGGGGGCAGGTGGCAGGGAAGGCCGGCGGAGCTGGCCATGGAGATGAGCCAGAACCCCCCACCCAGGCTGCCCCCTCGCTCCAGCAGGACCTGAGAGAAATCCCCTTTGCCACCKCCCGTGGGGCAGGCCTCACACCAGAGCTGAGCTGGGCGGGGGCACCTGGGGCTCTGGGCTSCTCCTCCAGCCCCATCTGTCATCCTCACCAGCCCGTCCAGGGCCACTGGGGGCCCTTCCAGCTGACCTCATAATGCCTATAGAGGGGGCTGGGGAAGCAGTAGGGTCACCTGAGACCCCAGCTGCCGGGTTTGAGCCTCAACCACATTTCCAAGCACTCCCAGAACTTCTTGGCATACAGTGCACAACACACACAACCTACCCGTCTAAAACAATCCCTTACCACCAGGCTCCCAGCACTCCATTCCATTCCCATCTTAGGTACCAAGGCATTCGATCACCCACCCAGCATCCATTCCACAGCTTCTGAGCATCTACTGTGTGTCGGAGCTGCCGTGGGGAAGGGGACCAGGTCAGCACTCCTGGCTGAAACCCTGCATAGCTCCCACCACAGTCCAAGCCACTCAGGACAATTGCCAAGGCCAGCACTCTCCTCTCTCCTCACCGGGGAGGCAGCTGCCACACTCTGGCTCAGGGCAAGGAACCCCAAGAATCTGGGATCAAAATCCAGTTCTACCCTCACAGCCATGTGACCTTGGGCAAATGACAGAATCTCTCTGGGCCTCAGTTTCTTTACCTGTCAAATGGGCATAATACAAATGTTTAYGACTTAGGATTATTGTGATACTTCTAAGACACTGATACCTGTATAGTTTAAAAGAGCATCTGGCCTGTAGGAGGTGTGGGGTCTGTGTTGGYACCTTGTGTGGGCGCAGCAGGTAAGATACCTGCAAATGCACTCTGCTCACTGTGGCAGGACAGCACCTCAGAGACGGGAGGTGGTCTCTTGTTCCTCTGTCTCTAGGCCCAGCAGGCTCCAGGGCCACCTCTCTGTGCCAATGCCACCACCTCCCCACATGCCAGTCCCACGAGACATGATAAAATTTCCCACCTCTTGGCTACTGCCTAGAAAATATTTCATCGCTTCCTCCGGGAAGCCATCGACCCCTCTCCTGGGTGTGACGCGGGCCAGGCACCCAAGGGAGAGGCTGGGAAGGCTTCCTGGAGGAGACTCCATCAGAAATGAGCCATGATGAGATGCAGTGTAGTCTAGGCRGAAGCCAAGAGGAAGGAAGGCGCTTCTGCTCCCCTGGGGTCCCCCACAGTCCTGTCCAAGTGCTTTACCTAAAGTGGCAGCAGACTGGCTGGTCCAGGCTGTGTGCTGTGGAAATGGGAAGGAAAGCACGTGGGGACGGAGGACCAGGGGGGTTTAGGAAGCAGGTCTGAGTGCAGGCACTAAGGAAGATCCAAGCTCCAACACCTGCCCCCAAGACCTTCCAGCAGCGCCCCTTGCAGCCAAGAGCCACCACAATGTCTTAGGGAAAAGCAGCAGGAAACTAGGTTAAGGGTGAGGCGGACCTGGATGGAGCCCCAGGGTGCTGGAGTCTTGGCTGCCCCGGCATGTCCTCCCTGGGGGGCCGTGACAGGCCTGTATTTGCCTCACCAGCATTTCCCAGCAGAGTGGGGGTCAAAGCCAGGTTGACCAAAGAGAGGAGGCAGAAGGCAGAAGCTGCAGTGCCCCAACTTGAGACTCGCGGGGACACTAGGTGGGGAGGGGGGAGCTGCG